GGTTGTGTGTCAAAAGGGAATCCAGTAATTTTAGCATTTCCAGGGAAGGGGATTTTGTGTTATTTGGAAATTCCAGGGTTGGAAATTCCAGGGATGGGGGTTCTTTTCTTATAAAATTATTGTTCTCGGGAAAAAATGCAATCTGCCATTATAAAATATGATACCTCATTTATATAGTTTTAATCTGCCATTATGGTTTTAAAATACAGTAATTATAGTGAACTTTTAAAATGCACCAATCAATTTGGGGGTGACCACCCCTTCCCCTGTTGGCATGGATTTAGCCATTTGCCATTGATCATGTTATCAAGAGGAATGTATGATATTTGGCATAAGTAAAATTCATTGTGGTGTGGCATAAGCATTTGATCCCCAATCCCTAATATGGTGTAGGGGATTTTATGTACAAAATATTTTGTTGACATGAATGAGTTGACATAATTGTTTTGTTTGTGGAAACACCACAAAGTCAAATGATTTACTTTGCAATCCACAAGCTTGGATGCTCATCAGTGCAAATATAATATATTTACAGTCAAAAGCTCCGCAAAGTGTTTCTGTAAACAAAACAATTTTATTATTATTTATCAACATGCAAACCAACAAATTAAGAACTTAATTATGACATAAAGTTCCCGACTCAATATTTGTGTTAGTTTGCATGGCAGACTTTCTACACTTGATTGAGTCACTACCTCTGAGTCACTACCGAAGTCATCAATTACCCCTAGGCCCTAGCTGTGTGGAAAAAACAATCTGCCATATTTATTGGTTAAAATTGATTTTATCATTGATAAATGTATACACCCTTGAACAGTAGAATACTTTGTATAGAAATAATAGAAAAACCACAAAATGTAAATGCAAAAAAAAAACCGATAAAAATATCGAGAAATTTCACAAATATTCAATGTCATGCGATTTTAATATTTTATACTGTATATCAGTTGTATATAAAACTTGTTGACTCATGAGCCAGAACTATTAAACGTACTAGCGCAGTACCTGAAACATCAATTGAGTCGGTTCTTCGGTTAAAATCTTCGCTTTTGCCTTTTCGATGTCTTATGTTATTGCTTGCTCTTTAAATTCAGTCCAAAATGCGGTTTACCGAAATTATCGAAGTGGTATTTCCGTCGAATTTCTTGCGGTAAAAATGAAGGTCAGTTGCTTAGCAACTGATGGCCGCCATCTTGGATCAGGCTTGGTTACAAGGCAAATTCGAAAAAAGTGAGCCCAAAATATTATTCTGCGTGCCGGACTGACTTGTATCAGGATTGCTGATTGCACGTGCACAGGTTCCTGGCATCCTGCATTTTACATGACATGTGCACTAGCCACAAGTGACAATATGCCTGTGTGACGTTATTAGAGGGTATAGATGGGAGGGGGGGGGGAGGGTGTCTAAAAATTTTGGTATTTTAATGGTAACAATAAGTAACATTTTGGTATTTTAACGGTAAATCTTTGAAAAGTGTTCTGAAACGATAAACAGTATTTTTTCCCTCACGATTCACGCTAAATGTTTAGTGTTTTCACGATTGACGGTAACTGAAATTGAGTGAATCACGACTCACGATAATGACGATATACCCCATCAACACCCTCTTATTACACATTGAATGGTACAAATATGAAATCATTTAGGCCAGATCTAGACTACCAGTCGGATGATTTGTGGCAGTTAAAACGAACAGCAATGAACTCAAAATACCAGCCAGGACTAGTTCTTTAGTTTCTTTTGTAGTTTTGCATGGCAATAGTATAATATAAATTTTGAAAGCTTCGGATTTATAGGGATGCAACTACCTGAAAAATACAAGGAGAACTTCGAGGTCAGGAAGTTGGTAGCCAAATTTCCCGACGAAGAGCCTTTGCTCGAAACGTCGAAGTTCTCCTTGTATTTTCAAATAGTTGCATCTCTTTCAATCCGAAGCTTTCTTCATATTATTCCAGGTGATCTCGGAACTTGGAAAAGGCCTGTCATTAGTTGTAAAATAGAAATCCATTTCTGGTTTAAAATTACTCAATATCTCATTAATGATATTAGATTTCTATTTCAAATTTGTCCCAGACATTCATTTCCCTGTGCAAGACACAGACATAAAGTTTCAAACAGTTTCGCAAAAGAATCAGGGCGTGACAAGTGATTAAAGGTCCGAAACTGGATTTTTATTCTGTCGCTAGTCCCAGTCCTTTTGCTCACCGTCAGATCACCATGCAGATCACATGGATTGGAATGGATTGGCACATCCTCGTTCCCATTCGTTCCCAGGGCTTCAACAACGCAGGCAGCCGAGAAGCCCTGGGAACGAGGATGGGATTGGCACTACCTACACTGGCGCAGACAGTTCAAGATAATATAAGTTTTATATATTATTAGCACTAATGAAAGATCGAAAACTTTGCAATAATTATAATTAAATATATTATAATTAAATATACATAGTGTTTTCACAAACCAGGAACGTTAATACATTATAATACGTATCGTATCCAAAAGGGCGTCCCAGCAGGGTGAGGTCTGAGGCCTGGGTATGAGATTGATCTGACGTGTGCGATTCCTTTAATTGTATTGAACATACACGCACTTCCAAAGCTAAATATTGATTGAAATTACTGAACATTATTGAGTACATTTTCACACTAAGTGTCTTCTAACGATGTTATAACTCTTACTTAATCACTTTCTAAATTATTCGACCTCATTGTGTTTTTGAAAATTTTAATTTCGGATATTCGCTTTTGCTGCTCACACATTTGTTGAAAGCTGTGCACAAAACAACCAACGAATCAGTAGAGAACTATAGAGCTATATTGAACCATTGAACTAAAATCACAAAGATGAATCCCTTGGTTATCTAGATTTTCGACTGTTTGCATGTGAGTAACTGTTGCAATTTTTTTTTGCTAATTTTAACTTAATCAATGCTACAAGATACATATATGCAAAAAAATATTCGTCTGTTTACGAGTTTTAATTCAAAAGCAAAAACATAATATGTATAAAAGACAAAGTTGAGCTTTCAACTTCATGTAAATGGTGATGTTTTATACCTATTTCGTGAAACTACTCTTATATACTTGTGATTAGGTTTAGTGTTCTCCCTCGGCCCTAATTAGCTTTCAATCTAAGTCAGAAAATTATTTTGAGAGAATTTATATACTGGCTTTTCTCGGCTTCGTAATCCAGGACAAGTGCCAATGTGACACGCGGGACAAGTCATTTGACCCAAAGCTCCCAAAAGGGCAAAGGCGCAATTTTAATTCCGAAAACCATCTTTGAATCAAAGGTGATGAGCGCACCGTGAGCACAGAACGTTCTCTAATGTTTCATATAGCGTAACCTGCAGCTTTTAAAAAAACGCAGATTGGGTTCCTGACATGCAATCTTAGTGTCATGGAAGAAAATTACCAGGAAAAGAAGACAGCGCGCGCTCATTTTAGACATTTTAGACATTTTTTTTTCATGACACACACCGGAATTATATAACAACGCGTGTACAGAAAGTGCATACAGTTCATCTATAAATGATAAAAATGTTGAATAAATTATTTTCATATTCATACGTCAAAGTCCAGTCGAGTATAACAGGTGAAACAGCTATACGGCTGGCGCCTATGGATTTACACGTTGACAATGTTAACATGCTGCAAAATTAGATATTTAGATTTTAGTATTTTAACGTCAAGTTGTTTCATGGAAATTGTCGAATAAGGTACGCATTTAAAGATTTATTATATATTTTTAAAAGAATAATCTTAGCTGAATGGCGTTTATACTTGGTTACAACTGACAATATGTCTTAATAATGAAATAAGGTGCTCAGAATAATTCATTTATTGCCTTAGAAAATTATAAAAGGCAATATTCCTTCTTTTATTTTAAAAATTAATCACTTTATCATTTTGTAACTTTTTGGAAGAATAAAATCTTGGTTGCAGCTAGGGGAACACTTTTCTCTTTTTCAAATTTCAACACATGTTAATCACTTTGTTTCAAAATTATTGAATCAAACTATATTAAATTGTAATTGTTGTTAGTATTAAAGCGAAGGTCAAATCCTATCGTGCATTTTATGAATGCGCGTTGTCGCTGGTCTGCGAGGGGCTAGCTTATATGCGCTTACCGCTTTAGAAAATATCACCATATAGTTTTACCGGATGATGCATTTTACAATTTTTAGGGACAATTATAACTCGCACACAACCGCAATCGATCAGGGGCTGCAGTCAAATTTCAAATTTGCGGGAAGCCAGTTCAAAAGTGTAGTGAATTGATAAAACGATAATCATTTGAAACATTTTCCAATTTTGCATTTGTTTCAATCGAAATCGGTCCAAATAAGGTTACGGCAATTTAACCAAAAATGCAAGAGGGAGGAATACATAGTCATAGACTTATATTGTACACACGTTATGTGAAAAGATTTAAAAACATATAATCCTACGCTTTTTAGTCACTAACTCGAGACGTGCAACATATATATCATCGTCAGACATCTGCGAGCTAGATTAAAATTCTTTTTTCAACTCACAATCAATTCAAATATCAAAACAATGTGGTATATACATGGCACTAATTTTGGCGTCGCGGAAAAATCTCTTAATTTGTCAATATCGAGTTAGGATTTTGAATTAAAGTGCGTAGGTTGTGTATATTGTGGGCGTAAAATGAATTAATTAAATGCAAAATCAATTTCCTTTGTGTTGAGTTATAAAAAAGTATATAGAGTTATATATAATACTACAGGTGGAGACTGATCACCGAACACAACACAATATCACATCGATCCGGGCGTTTTGCGGAGGGTGATTTGAAGCACAGTTACAGAATAGCCTGTTATAGCTAGGTCAGTGGCCGACACTAGGAGAAGAGGGAGGCGGGGGAGGGGGGGGGGAGCGGTAGGACCGACCCAAATTATTTTCGAAAGCCTGTGAATGATACTCAATAACTGCCTAACAAAGTGTAACAATACTTTTTCAACCATGAAAGTGTTGGAGGCTGTAAAGCAAGGTATATATTTCGCATGAAATGTAAAGCAAAAAAGTTTAAAGATCTATGATTTCCAGCAACAAAAGGTGGTATTATGTTGGCAACCTAAATCCGCCTCCCTCCTAATATTTCGCAAAGTGACCGCGACTGATACAGGTATCGTAGAAACCAAAATTAGCTTGGAAATTATTTTGCAAGTAAACAATTTGTCCACTCAATCACGTCAAAGACTAATTAGGTACTAAATGAAAAACTCGTGTTATGTAGTCAGTGGCGAAGAACTGAAACAATAACAAGGGGGATCGCGTCTCAAGGGGGGTGGGGTGGGGAAAGGTGTGGGAGGGGGCGACAAAGCTTGAAGGGTGCAACATGCTGATAAACATCGAAGGTTCCAGTGTTTATTTTTTAGATTCTAGCAATTCTTCAATTAGTGCTTTTTGAAGAAAGCCATATAAGCCTCAACTTGAAATAAAAGATTCCGCTATACAGCCAATTCAAAAAAGGTTGTCCTTTGCAAATCTTAAACTCTAAACCTTAAACTCTAAGCCCGTAAAGCTTAATGGGAGCACAAGTTTCAAGCTTAGTAGTTGAATATTGCAACTATATTTGTGAATGAATTATTCTCGTAAGGAGGACCCTACTGAAAAACACATTATTGTGACGTAGGCTTCCTGATTAAAAATTGCTTGAATTGAATTGAATTGAATTGAATTGATATTAACCATGTCTCTAAGAAATGGGCGCCATACATGATTTCTAAGCTGATTAAATGATGCTCCCATTATGCTTTGCACGCTTAGAGTTCAAGGTTTGAGGTTTAAAGTTTAAGATTTGCAAAGGACCTTTTTTGAATTAGCTGTATATCAAAGCTATTTCATGTTGGAGCTAGGATCATAATAGTCAAGTACAGAAAATCGTTACCTCATCATTTCAACACTACTGTTGCAAAGAATTCTCCAGGCTATAAATCTGCAAAAATATTTGGGGAGTTAGCCCCCAAATCGACACTGATGAAATTTTTAACAAGACGGCCCAGTTCCTCTAAGCTCCCTCTTGTACACCCCTTGTTATAGTTAGTGGAATAAAGGTCTTACTTAGCAAATAGCAGATCCATGCTAGAAGTTTTTGGTAGAGATTATTTTGGCGTTTGCTATTAATATTTAGAATAAATTATAAACACTGATAAAGCTACAAATGTCATGTGCATGCATGAGCTGAAGGTTGATTGAAATGGGTCTATATCACCACGTATACTTCAGCAGAAGAATCTATAGCTGCGAATGTATAATATATTGAGCAAATATCTTTGATACTGAAGTTCAAGCGTGCTCTTTTCCTGAAACGTAGCTACACTAGAAACGAAACTCAATTTTACATTTTCACAATCACTAGTTGGCCTCCTTTTAGTCTTACTCGCGGAAGAAGAAATTTGACAAAAACAACACGGAGATAAAGAAACAGATCTTTGATGCAAGTTAGTTTGACAGTCACTTGAAGTTCATTTCCTTTCAATATTTCGCGCTCAAAATAGCCGCTCATCGCATGCTGTCATATACGTGTACCTTAATGTTATATGCATGGATAATTTATGCTATCACATGCAAACATCGGGTGTTAATACAGAACTGCACCGATGAAAAACTCCCCAATAACCTCAGTCATTATGTTGAAACATATTTCGCGTCCGTATATATTGTCACTATCAAATATTGGAATTCCCAAGAATGAGGACACAAGTTCGTTCATATTTTAGATCGAAGATAATCGATCCAGTTCTATATGAAGATCAGTGGTTAATATATACAATATTTTATCCGCGGAAACCATGCGGAGAGATAGCTCGTGCAAATGAAGATCTATCCAATATAAATAAAGTTACTTTAGTAGGATTCCTCCTGTAGTAACATTGGACGAATGAAAGGCGGCTCTTACTAAAACCAAACTAAAACTGAATGATTTTTTACATCTACTGAACAGTCCTATGTTTTAAGTTGTTCTCCGCGGTCCAAGGTCCAGTTACCCTTGGGCACAGAGGCTTTCTGGTGTCACGCGAGTTTACTGGGTAAAGGCTACACAGGGTACAGGCAACCCCCTGGTAAGATCCTGCATGTTAGTTACATTCAATGATTAGACGTACTCACGAATGATGTCTTGCGTTTGTTATCTGCCTTCGCACTGTCATTCCTAATTAACATTTAAATACAAAATAAAACAAAGTTAGACTATATGCATATTGGAAATATAAGATATGAATCAAAATCAAGACAAAATGTATATGCTTATATTCCGATAAAGCACGATTAAGACTTTGAAATAAAGTCGAAATAGAACCATATAAAATTCTGTCTTGATTCTGTCCATATCTCTGATTTTCAAGATACCATATTCGGAAGTTGTTTTATTTTGAATTTTTTTCAAATTATCGGTTGGAAGTGGGATTATGCATTTAAATGACACACAATTACTTGTATACGCTTTTTGGGTTAAAAAAAGCAACATCCTAGGCGCGCAAAATCAAACAATCGCGTGATAGAATAAAGGCAGCAGATTTTCGGCGTGCACAACCAAACAAGATGATTAATAATATAGCAGCAAAGCAACATTCTCGGCGCTCAAAACCAAACAATAACGCGACTTTTGCTATTCTCGTTGCGTCAAACCAAACAATTGAGCGATATTACTCGTGGGAAAATGCACAACAGCGAGTCACCGGAATCGCGTTTAGTTCATTATCAAACATTAATCTGCGCACAAAACAAATTGCGGTGCCACGCAGAAAGTGCCCGAATTAGCGCACGTCTCCGTCAGCTGGGCGAGGAGCGCATGGCCTTTATATGCGCGAGTGCCAAACAGGTATGTCCAAAATGTGTTGACCTGAGGTCATAACTTAGCTTATCTGTTGAGAACGTCAATCTTCAGTCGTTGTGATAAAACACGTATTTTAAATAGCCCTGCTACGGTTTGAGATATTATTTGTCAGAATAACGCCGGCTGCAGAGCGAACACTGCTCGTTCCAACTCATATGTTAATACCTTGCGTTTACAGAATCTAGAGCGAGAAAGTGGTGTTTCGAGGTTTGTATCTATCAGAGAAGAAGATTACCTACTCCAAGTGGATCAAAGGAACTAACGAGACCGTTGTATAATGCTGTAGTCCTTGACACGCAGATTGCCATTCAGGTAAGTTTTACACACATCTATTCTATTTGTTGTAAAGCGCTAAGTGTAACACCGCAAGGTTCAAATTCTTGGATTTAATTTCTTGCTAGTTTCGCGAAAACATAATTACTCATTTGAATGCTCAGTACAATCATGACAAATTGAATGATAGATTGTCACTCGCCTATTGTATACGCTCAATGAGTCATGTATATACGCGAGGCTTCACAATCCGTCAATTCGCGAATGAACGCAACTGAATCGTGTTAGTCTTGTTCCAAACTGAGAACTGCCCTTCGGAAACATAGATTTATCATTAGCATATATAGTCAAGCTGAAAGACATCTGTATTTCTATATATTCCCAAGTTCTTCTGTACAAAATACCTTTTACTTGTTCCGAATGCAAATCAAACGGAGATATTTTGCAAGATATTGAAAAGGATTTTGCTCCTCCGAAAGTACCAAGGGCTACTTTTTGAAATTGCTTTGACCTTTGTGTAATCGTTAGTTTATGTACTAAAGATGTTTCTGCTTGCAATATGAAAACGTCAAAGGCAAAATGAAATAGTTTCCCCATATTACACCGGCCATACATTTAAAAGAACACGAAGTAATACTGATGTAGGCTACTTCTAAGCTGTTGTATCGTGTTGTTAACGGTCCACGGCCTCCAAACTCCCTGTTGGGAAGGAGGCAGACTACGGAAATATGACTTAACCTTAATAGTTATCCATTCAAACCAGCATTCAATATTTACAGTCGATTACTGAGCAGTCATTCGCGAACCGTTTCTATATTAAAAACGGCGTAGAACCCCTAATCATCCAAATATTTTGAATTCAACTAAACATCCCACTCGAAGATTCCATTTGAAAATTTATCGCTATAATAAAATCCTTGCTTGTGAAAGGTAAAGAAACGTATGCGCTAATTTGAACCAGGTGGAGCCGTTTACAGGCGTTGATTTTTGGTTAATTTGGGCAGCGAATGCGCACGGTTTCTTGAGACATATATAAGGAATTAAGTTTTTTATGCCCTCGTGGTCTTAATCTCCCCCAAACCTCCGAAATATGGCTAGAAAAGGCGCTAAACGCAGCCAAAGGGCAACATTTCGAGCATGTGGTGTTACTTCGCATTATCGTAATATCAAGACTGGTATGCCCACGTTGTAGACGTAAACACCTCAAAAACACGTCCCTCGTGCATGTCAGGATTTAAACAAGATACATTTTTCAACCTACCTCGCTGACGTGGGATTAATTTGGGAAGTATTTCAGTCGAGATTTTCAGCGGATTTTAAAGGATTTTTGTGATAAGATTTATAGGATTTTGAAAGAGTTTTCCCGGTTTTTAGCTCTTTTGTGGGACTTTTAATGATTTTTAACGAAGTTTTTGGATTCGGATTTGCAGCGATTTCAAAATTATTAAAGTAGGAATTTGAATTTTCGAAATTTTTTTTGATTTTCGGGAAAGTGCAGGACGAGAATTTTTTAGTAATACACCCTCGGCGTATCCAATGTAAGGGCTGTTTTTCGGCTAGCAGCTCATAGGTTAACCTGCTCGCAGCCCGAAATTTCGTTCAAAGGATTTCCGTTTCAAATAGTTTCGGGTGGGGGCTGTGAGCAGGCTGTTCATAGCCTCATAGGTCTTGTTACCTTGACTAATAATATTCCCTATAATTTTTTTTGCACTTCAATCATATATATTTCAGCCCTTGTGGCAGTATTAGACAGGCGAGGTATCAAAGCCAAAGTAGAAAAAAACTTTTAAAATTCATATATTCTAAGTCAAACTATATGTCAAACTCGTTCCCAGGCTCTTTGCGCTTTGCTTCCCAAGAGCAAAGAGCCTGGGAACGAGGTTGACTATATGTCCCCCCATATGTCCCTTGCCTGCGAGCAGGTGGAATAATGTTAATTCTATTGTAGTTCAGGTAAGGCTGATTTACACCATCAAAGTTTCTGTGATCACAGTAGGAATTTTGCACAGGTAAATTGAATTCTAAGGTTTGAAGGATTGGTAAGGAATGTTTGAGCAAATTGGCTTGGTGTTAAACAGTAATTCCATATAAACAATATTTCATTTAACAAAAAAAAGAAATGGCAATTTTTCCAAAAGCCTTGGGTTATCTAGGGAAAGCTTGCCTGACATTAATAAATACGTATTTGCATTGAAATTAATAAATATAGAGTGGCAACGAAACGTATGAGAATAAGAATAAAATATATCTTGACACACACATAGCCATGCACCTGCAGAATTAACAGCGTCTTCCATCTTTATACAAGGTGAACATTACCGCAAGGCATGGCAGAAAAGTGTTCTTGATTTTAACAAAATCGTTTAGTGTTCACAATAAAGTTCTGAACGATTAGGAAAAGATTAGCATTTGTATTTTGCGAAACGTCGGGATGACCGTTCAAAAACTATGATAAACGCATTTTGCTTGTTGAATTTAACCATTTGGAACCAAGTAATTGTGCAGCGGAAGCAAAAAGAACAGCGCGATGACTAAGCAGCATATCGGCCACAGTCAAAGAAGAAGTGACTGACAGTCTCACTGGTTGAACCACAAGAATATAATGGCGATGGCACGCAATTTATTAAGAACAAATAATGATTTAAGGTACAATGAAACAGGCGAAATTAGGTTCCCTCAAACATTTCTTACAAATCCTTCCATTCAAACTTAGAATTCCTACTGTGATCACAGAAACTTTGATAGTGTCGTACACCAAGATAATTTCTGAATGCGCCAGACAAAACTAGTCTTGAGCATGAGACTTAGATTAGATTAGTCTCTTGAGGTTGGAGGAAACTTAATAATGAAGTTAATTTTGGGATAAATTTGGTACGCCAAAGATTAAATAACCCCCATAAAGCTATTTATAAGCAATTAATACACAAAAAATGCTTTTAATATTCAACGTTCCGTGATTTTCACACGCATATGGAGCTTGTTATTGCAAATCCCAACAAGCTGTTATTGCATCATATATACTGAAGTAATGAAAACGATATCTAATTGGAAACTGTGTACACTTAATTAATGAGCCGGGCCCGTGTATAGCACATGTTACATGTTGAATCATACACGTTCTATAGTTTCGGAATTGAACGCTGAAACTGTAAAATCGTAGGCAGGAATTCAGGAAATAGAGTATAATTTAAGGTCTATTTACACGATACGACTGGTTGTATACGGTTGTCATTCTGGCGTATGAAAACGACTGCCGACACCACCATATCCTGTTCATCTATGACTATGGCGAAAGTTGAAATGTAACATTTTACACGTATTTATTTGAGTACATACTCCAGGATAAGAATCGCATACGATTAATTGTACTGTGTGGATGGCCCTTTAGCAAACATTCTTTCGTCATATAACACAATGAGGTAATAGATAAAGGCAGCCAGACTATTAATTTCGTTGTGTTATTGATAACTGCACGTATAATTGCGCGATATCGAAGGCTGTCAATCACAGCTGACAAACTTGACGAATACAAAATGAGGCAAGAGACGCTATTAAACACTTGTTTTTGTGAAAAAGCAATATTGGCTTTATTTCTATTCCATTTTTGGCATGTTTGCAAGGTTTTGTTAATTTGTTGTATAATCTGGAAGCCACAATCATATTGCGATGACAAAGCTGGCAGCATTTGGAATAATTACGGCAGAGACTCGATGATAAAAGAACCTATAAATATACTGCAGCTTTTTTGTAGTCTAGCACGTGCGAGACTTTTTCTCAACAAACTCACTGATCTCAAAAATCTAAAGTAAAGTGATTATTCATCACGCAAAAACCCAAGCTGGCTGTATGACAGTCATGCAAAATGCCCAAAAAGAATTGTTCTAATTAAATATACAATAATATAGCTCGCGAAATGTGACAAATTTGGGATTAAACAATGCAATCAACCAATCAAAAAAAAAGTTTGCAGTATAATTTTATAGCACAAGTCCGGTAATGTGTTTTTAAATGCTTTTTCAAATTGAACTTGTTCCACAAAAGAAATGTTTGATAAATATTTGATGAGAAAGATTTTTTGTAATCACGTTAATTAAGAATCATTTTGTCCAAGTGTTTTGACTATCTTTGTCCTGGAGGCGTGTGAACTTTATCATTTATTTTGCAATGCCAATGATATTGCGGACTCAGTTTTGTGTAAAAGCCTTTAAAAGATAAGAGAGATGATAAAACGGCCACACTTTTATTAAACTACGCGTATTTCCAGCTATGTTTACACGCAGTGATTTGTCGTGTACGATTCGGATTCTGGTGTATGAAAATTACTGCTGACGCCACAATTCCTCTTCATTTCGTTATGAATTTAGAATATGCGTGCTTATTCCATTACAAACGCGAGAATACGTACAGCACAAATCCCAGCGTGTAAAGGCTGTTTTCCACTTTAACCGTATCGTAATGTACCGTAGCATTTTCTTTTGTGTCGAAGTCATTACCCAGCGGGAAAAATGACGTTTATCCAACGTTGAATCAACGTTGGAAATGACCTTCCAGACGTTGGATAGACGTTGAAAAAGGGTTGACTATGCAAATTGGATCGACGTTACTGTTTCGACCTTGAAACAACGTTGAAATTAGGTTGCCAATCTCGTCAACAATAATTCAACGTTGAATCCACGTTAAAACAACGTTGAGATTGGTTCACAAATCGACGTCGTACATTTAACCATGAATGAACGTTAATTCAACGTCTGTTGGCTGCTGTTAAACCAATGTTTGTAAAACAACGTCAGAGCAACGTAGATATTAGGTTGTCGACGTCGCAACCTCTTTTCTACCAAATTTCAACGTTGAAACAACGTCGTGTGCCCGGTGGGTAGTTCCACACTAGTGCTCAGGAAACAACGAAATACGCTACGTTTCGGTACGATTGAAGTGGAAAACTGGTTACGGAGATCGAAATCTACGAGAACGATCATCATTTGTGCAGCAGTCACGCCATATTTGCCACTACGCTTATAACTTTGGGCAAACTAGAAAACATTGCCGTGGAAACTTTTGTTCAGTGTTTCTCGAATGCATGTGTTCTTATTTGCACCTCTTGCGAGAACAAGATCGCAAGCGTCAGTTTTGTTTTGGGTCGCCCATTTTTGTGACCAGTAAAACCAGAGTGAAACAGAGAAAAACCAGGCCTGTCCAACATACATTATGCATGATGGGAGATCTTAGGGAATCATTAGATCTTACTCAGTTCCTTATGTGTCATTTGAGATTGTGAAATGTTGATCTCAAACTCATTATTAATTCATGAGTAAATTAGCCAACCATATCACTTTATTTTGCTCACATAATAATACTGGATACCCGGTGAAGTACATTGTTCCAGTCCTAGGACTGGGTCAAAATTAATGCAGTCCTTGGACTGGATCAAAATTAATTAACCTCACTTTAAGTAGTAGTGATTTATTCCGCGTATGAGATGTCATTTCAATTCCTCCAATACTGACTGGACTAGATTTCAAGTTCTCGCATTTTGATCCTGTCCTCGGCTTCGCCTCGGATTTGATCAAATTGCGCGGACTTGAATTCTAGTCCAGTCTTCATAGTCAGATTTGAAAGATTACGTCAACATACTAGGTAGTCAACATACTAGGTACTGTGCATGCCAATTTCAGTAAGATTTCCCGTTGTGATTTCTGAGAAATTGCGCGGAGTTGAAATCTAATCCAGTCCTCATAGCCGGATTTGAAATATTACTTCAATGTTCAAATTTGGCGTAATGTACAGACAACTTTTCCATTGCTTTTTTATGCACTTTTGAGGAAAATTTATAACAGGCAAATTGAGGATCCAAGGAAGATTAAACACTTTATTCAGGTGTGAAAAACTACCACGAACAATTTGACTAAAAATGGAGCAATTTCGTCGGCGCAAAAGGCGTAGTTGTTTGTAGTAAATATTATGTTGGGATAAAGTTGGAAAGATTTTCTCGTAATATTAATCCCACTCCAATCCTTGCAACTATAAATTAATTCTTAATCATTTTACTAGACTGTATACAAAGAAGAACAGACATCCTGACACTCCATATCGCCGCTGAAACCGTAAACCGATAAAAGACTGGTACTAATCATGGCGGGAAATGTGACATCATCTGTGCCATCCAGCACATTAACATTGCCATTCACGCCTACCACGTACAGCAACCAGACCATAACCAACACCTCCATGGTGCCTGGAAAAAACAACACCTTGTCACCTCATTTGGTCTACTCGGAATCGTATAAAATCATCAGCGCAACAATAATCTTTGCCATCATGGCATTGGCCATTTTTGGTAATGTCTTGGTTATCATGGCATTTCGCAAATACCATAAGCTCCGTACTGTGACTAATTATTTCGTCGTATCCTTAGCTGTCAGTGACATCCTCATAAGCATGCTCTCGATGCCAACATGGGCTATACACGTCGTCACAGGACCAGATCCAAAATGGGAAAAAATTGACCAATCTGCGTTCGTGATTTGGACTCTATCTGATATCGTCTGTGGCCTAACCAGTATTTTTAACCTCACCTGCATCAGTATTGAAAGATATATCTGCATTTCCTCGCCACTTCGCTACTACCAGCGCATGCGCGGACGACGTGCCGTTATTATCATTATTTTTATTTGGATTTTCGCTGTATTTCTGGCCGCCGCCCGAGGCATATTTCGAAATACTGTTGTAGTTTTCGAAGTGATGTACACCGTTATCGGGTTCTTCATTCCTTTATTGATCATGGTGGTAATGTACTCGATGATCTTCCGCGTGGCTTGTAAACAAGTGAAGAAAATGGATATCCCCATGAACGGCACAACCAAGAAATTCCGCTTGAGGAAAGAGATAAAGGCAGCGAAGACTTTAGGCATTGTCATTTCAGCGTTCTTTGTGTGTTGGAGCCCGTTCTTCGTGCTCAATTTCTACGCAATCTGTGGCAGTTGTTACCGCTCGTTGCGCAGTGATATTATCATTGCAGCGAAGTGGTTCCATTATGTAAACAGTGTATTAAACCCGTTAATATACGCCAGAATGAATAAGGACTTTCGAGATGGCTTTACACGTATTCTGCTGCAGTGTGCGATGAATGTTGGGATACGTGAGAACATCAATGAAACGGATTTACCAGCGTTGGATCGTAGATCATCATCAGTCCTAACTGCCGCAGGAAGACGAAGAAAATCCAGTACTCACGTTCATGGGAGTTTTAGTACAACATGAAAGATTGACAACATGAACACTTGTCTTTCGCGGCAAACATATTTTGTGCATCACTCGAGCACTGTTCTTTGTGCTGTAGTCAAGTATTGACAAACATTTTTTTTTAACACTTCAACAGTTTGGGTGAAACATCTTCGTACATTCTCATCCGCACATTTATTTTAAGCACTGTTTGCTTCAACAGAAACTGTGGACACTTCTACGAGTTTAGACGAAATGTCTTACCACATTTTCAATTGAGCACTTAACCATATGATGAATGTCAAGGACTTTCAAGTACGATTTGTACAAAGACGGTCTGAGTATATAAACTTGATCTTTTCCCCAATTGTTGAAATATAATTAAGCTGGCTAGAGGCGTTGATCTACGGGGGAATTTCACATTGGCAATGCATTGTACAGTTTTATTATATGTAATCTATTGCATAAATTTTAGTAATAAAATTTATATTTGTACTTACCACAATTAGACATTGTTTTGGACGTGTTTCGTGTGTACTATGGTATGTTTACACCGTTCGTTCATCGCGAGTTATTCGGGCAACATTCTGAAAATGAAGAAAAAACGTCCTCATATGTCTTATCAGGAAATTTGGATCCTTGATCGATAAGGAAGGAAAATGTAAAAGTCTGAGGCCAGGGTCAAACGTCGAACTTTTCATGCGCCGAACCTGATGCAAATAAAGTGAAACAAAGAACTTAGCTCATTAACATTAGGTTCGACGCATGAAAAGTTCAACGTTTGACCCTGGCCTGAGAAACAGACAGTTTGACATACAGGGTGTCCCAAAAAAGTGACACTATAGAAATTATCCTATTGTTATGATTTGAATGCTTGAGCAGTATGCTGAACACAAGAGTGCATAAAAACAATTAGCCTTTCTCACAATGACGAATATCCGCCATTTTTGGGTGGCATCTAATACACCCTTCCGGAAAGTACGTCACTTTAGCTATAGAGCCTCGTTTTCGTGTATCTGACATCAGTTAAAGGCCGCGTCTCAATCACGAAAACGAGGCTCTATAATATATATGTGGACTTATTATCTCGCAGACTTCGGCTGAAAAGCCACCCAAAAATGGCGGCGTGAGAAAGGCTAATTGAATCGAATTTTTAATTACCAGGCGCATGAAATCCTCTGCTTAACAACAATAGGCACTTTCTCCTGAATCCCACGAGAGAAGATGCTTCCAGACTGACTCTACCAAACACGGTAGGGTTACTCACATTACGTGACCAATAAAAGTCGGTCCTATACTGGACCTCTAGAGAGAACAGTACTAGTAGAACAGAAACTGATAGAGCTATCCAGTAGAAATATATTGAGCCACTCAAACCAAGCGGTCCAATATCACCAACATTGTTGGCTTCGTTGAGCACTGCACTGGACAATCTGTCCGACCTAAGTAAAACTGAGGTTTATTGTTTGTCCTACCCGAGTGCATTGGTGTCCGACCGAACTGTAGCTTTGTCGAACGTAAATCAAAACGTACCCTAATCCACTAGAGGCTCGTATGTTAAATGTAAAATCAGAGTAACGTATAAAAAGTGAACCGGAAATGTTGTTTTAAAGTAACCAAGCGCGGGGAAGCGAGCGAAATGGTGAACTGGAAAACGAGCTTAAGTTGTTGAAGTCTTAGTAAAGCTATAGTTTATTGAGACGGGAGATGGATGCGGTTAGCGACTGCATCTTACCGGTTTTTAAGAGGCCATCCACCAAATAGTGATTTTTGCAACCTTTCTAAAATTGACCGTTGAATAACCTTCATGTAGAACTTGTCCAAGTTCTGTCCATCTCAGAGGCAGAGCGGTAAACACAATAAACTTTCATTTTATAAGTCTCAGGCTCAGCAAACCATCATTTACTTTGACCGACTATAGGCACATGTTACACACATCATAAAATCCCTTCTTGCACAGTCATTATACGTTTATTAAGACAGTGAGGAGTATGTAGTATGTACAATACTCGAGAAAGCAGTGATTACGTTTGCCAGCAATATTTCGGTTCACTGGTCACACTAGTGAATTCTGCATATGGGTACGGTTAACACTCGCCCTCGAGAGTCACAAACTACCTGGAATTTAAAAGAAACCAGGTTGAAAAAAATGATGCAAGTGAAGTTAAATCCATTTGTAAAAAAATGTCATACCTTGCCATTCTTGATCAGTTAACAGTCGTATTCATCTTGCAATGAGTAAACTCATCTGTCAATGAAGGTCTGAATAACACTTGGTTGAATAACACTTAGCAAAACAATAATGCTATCCAGTCATGATCATAGATGGTATGATCCAGTGATAGAATGTTCCATTGTCTTTTCATTGTTTTCAAAATCCCACTGTTCTCCATGCTGATAGGCGACAATTGACCCTTGTTATAATATTTTATGCAAAGACTTTAAGGTTCATAAATCTCATGAGTGAACAATTCCCGATTTGCTGGCTGGTAATGAAACTATTTATTCACAATGGATTACATTGTCTGCCTTAATTTCAAGCTGTTGTTTTTGTGTGTGCTCAAGCAAATTCAGAAGTGTCTATTCATTATCATGCACAAACTTCATATCAAACTACAGTGTGTATAAAAAAAACTGAACCTTTCAAATTAGCTAGAACGTTTGTAGTAATTTGACAGCTCTAATTGCTTTGAATTAATGGTTGGTATATTCTTGTACTCATGGGACAAAACTCAGTACAATACGTTATAGCTAATTTGAATTTGAATGGTTCAGGTTTTTTTTTATACGCACTGTACAGGTATTTATTCACAATGGATTACATTGTCCGCCTTAATTTCAAGCTATTTTTTTGTGTGACTAAAACAAATTCAGAAGTGTCTATTCATTATCATGTACAAACTTCATAATATTTCTCTCTCTCTCTTTCGAAGAGGCGTTTTTACTTTTTAGTTAAACACGCGGGCTATACACCCACGAATTGTTAGCCATGCGGGTAATTTGTGACTATCTTTTAATTCCTTGCTACCCCGCGGCGTACCGATCACCCGAAATGCCTTTGACGCCATCAAGGTATACAGCCCGCGTGTTAAAATAAAATCGTCAATAAAAGGCCTGTGCGGAGGAGAATGGATAGTTCTTCTTCTTTATGATGGCCACGTACATTCCTTATTGAAATCCAAAATCCCACTATTTTGTATTCTGTAATAAAGGTCACCCCACACCATGAAACCTCTCAAACAACTCCCTTCAATAGAGGGCCCCCTATACTTTTTGCGTGAAGGGCTTATTTTACTTAGCCGTGAAACGTGATCGATGATTTTCTTAATCCGTGACTCGTGAAAAGACAAAATATTTTTACGTGAAAGCATATTGTGAAGAGGTATAGGGGGCCCTCTTCAATAGGGGGATTCACGGTTTCCGATGCCATCTTGAATCTATTGTTTTCACCATTGGTTTGCACCCCTTGCACTATTGTGTTTCGTTATGGCGTCGGAAACCTTGAATCCCCCTATTACCGCCTCTTTGGTTTCACCCCTCGTCCATCTTGGGAAAATTAAATTCCTTTGCTGTAAAGCTTCGGATACACGAGCAATACTTTTGCTGCGATGGTTACGCAATGGGTGATAACAGCATTGCGTTGCCGTCGCACAAGTTGGCTACACCTGCAATATTTCACCTGCAATATATGTCTTCATAACGCTTTTCATTGGCTGGTCAAGAAACGTGTCATTCATCAACCTTGACCTTCCTTGACCACACCTCCCAATTTTCGGCAATCATTGCCGAAAATCAAATGATTTGAAATTTCGACAACGATTGCGCGCAGCTTTGCGTTGCCGTCGCAGTGCATGATACACAAGCAATTTCTTTCTCGCGACGGCAATGCAACGATTTTACCACCATTGCATTGCCATCGCCAGAAAAGTATTGCCTGTGTATCCGTAGCTTAAGACTTGTTCAATTTTGACCACGTTTGTGCTAGCCTGTTGATCCAGAGCTTTGGATTACTGGACCGTAGTATTTGGCAATAGTCCGTAATGCAAGAATTTCATACACTGCCTTTTTAAAAGTCATTACCACCTTTGTAGGCTGTTTATTTGATAAGATAATTGACGACAAAAGCATAATATATGGTTACGAAGCTATGTGAGCTCAGTTACAAGGAGCGACCTAATTTCATCTGAGCAAAAAACCCTCAAATACGAAGTACACTATTTTACAACTAATAAAAACAATGGTTTTAAAGTAATACCAATAGCGTGAACAATGTCCCTATTATAAATATTTTGTTCGTCATATATAAGCATGGAATGCGAATGTGCATTGCTTGAAATCCTAAAGTCTGTACAAAAATATATTCAAAAGTATTTGATATTATATTACAATATACATGTGTGCAAAATTATACATTCTCGTTACCAGCCTCTTCAGTTCGTGACGCGATCTCGTGCTGACGTAGAACACTGACTGCATCCTTGACAGCATGATAAATTATATTCTTTACCTGAAAGAATCAAGAAGTTCAAGAAATCAGGAAATAGCAATGCTTCATGATAGACAGCTAAGAAACGACAATTTTAACTGTGACAACTAAAGGCCAATGGACCTTTAACCTTATAACTAAAATTTTGATCTAGACAAGTCTAGACAAAAATTTCATCACAGCTTGAAAGAGCATCACAAAATTAGTAATATTCCAAAGTTTCGTTACGAAATGTTGTAAAATGCGGATAATATAGCGTGATGCTCTTTCAAGCTGTAATGAAATTTTTGTCTAGATCAAAATTTTAGTTACAAGGTTAAAGGTCCATTTACACAACATAACTTTTGCCTAAAACTGTCGCATCATTCAACCTGCTTACAACTTGAGTGGTACTGTGTAAATCAAGCACACAACTCACCTACGTTGTCGTTAGGTAACTCAAGTTGTAAGCAGGTCGCATGCGACAGTATTTTATGGGCAAAAATTGTGCAGTGTAAACTGGCCTTAACAGCGAGTAAATTGTACTCATCAGCAGAAACCTCTCGAGTTGATTACTGTAAAAGGTTTCCAAACTTACTTGTAGCTTGTCCTCGTGATTCGTGTGTTTTTCTGACAAATGCCGGAATTCCTCAGTCAATTTAAAGCAATGACCAACGTGCTGTAAAAGTCGTGAATAATTAATGAGCTTTGCAGCCAATCGAATTTCAAAGATTATGTCACATGTATACCCTTGCATGTAAACCACAAAAATTGAATCAATTCACCCTTCCGAAAAGTACACAAAAGGGTTTCGCCTCTGTGTTCAAGATATTGGCGTACGAGCACTTTATCTTGTAGCCTGTGTCACAGATCTTACATTATGCAAAGGTCTACTATACATTCTACAAAGTCAAATTTGTAGAACAAGCACTTTTCAATCTTCGTACTATAATCGTGTTGTCAAACTGTGGAACGTTGTATGTAAAGATGTATGTTTGGACACCGTGTCTAGTCCTAGTTCTTTTAAATGTTTAGTTAAACGTAGATACTCTAGTATTGTTGATTTTATTTATGATGTTGACTTGTCATGTACGTGGTCCTTGTTTCGTGACTGTTCGTGTCATAGGACGTAAATTGTGGTGCACTAGGTGTGTGTAGAGTTGTGTCTTGTGTGTCTAATGTTATATAAATTAGTTTTAGTAACGTTTGGGAAGGTACCTTGCATGGTTCTTTGAGTCCCGTTTTTACCTTGCCCATTTAGGGTCTATATTCTATTAATAGTTTGATTGAATACGTATTTTATACATTTTTTCTTTGTAATATATGATTAATTGACCCTAATAAAGATGATAATAATAATTGTAAGATCTGTGACACAGGTATTTATGTTGTTTTTGGTAAGTATCAAGATTATCGCAGGGCTGCATGTTCGATTCCTGCCACTGCCAGGGACCTATAGAGTACTTTCCGGAAGGCTGTATTCACAGGCAAACCAGGCATACGTACCTTTAACTAGTTTGCATAAGAATTGATGCAGAACCTTTATATCAAGAAATAAGATCTTAATTATTTTGTGTTAAAAACTTACCTCGGGTGAAACAAAGTCTTCTGCCGCTTTGACACAACTGTGTAAATTTCGCACCTACAAAAATAAACACGAAATTGTATCAAAGCAACCTCCCCCGACTTTCGTCATCTGCTTAAACGCTATAGTATGGAAAGAGAACAGGGGCCGGTTGTTCAAAAGCTGATCCTATAGGTTAACGAAGAATTCCAAAGTAAATTCGCAAATATGGAAATATTTTTCTAATTTTTTCCAGCTTTCATTTTATAATGTTTTGAGGTACCCAAATACACAAACCAAAACAGCAGGGTTAATTGTAACTCGGAGTTAGGGACCGGTCATTATTTATGGCAGGGGTGGGGGCCGAAGAGAAAGTATAATGAAGCCGGAAAAAATCATTACCCAACTTTTTCGAAACAAAATTTCTAGCTACCCCACCGGTGGAATGCCAGAAAAATTTTTTACCCCACCCAAACCTATTTTGTTGCAATGTCAAAGGTTCAGACATAAAATATGTAATGAAACAGTATAGTATTTTGTATGCGTATTACTCATCAAGGTACAAAATTGCCCTTGCTGTTAGAGAGTATCTGCTGTTAGAGAGTAAATAATAATTATTATAGGGTGCTTTGACCACAGTGGACATTATAATTAAAAGGGAATAGCATTGATTGGTAATACTTGTTTACCAATATCCCTTGCCCCTTATTTCTTGTGGAGTAATTAAAGCACACTAACAGTCATGCCTTTATATTATGGGTTACCCCTACAATAGCAAGGTACTATATAAAGAATTATAGTTATCTGAAGGCTTAAAATTTGTCTACTTGTAAAATTGAAATATGAATGGGTTTTTATAGTTTGTATTCAACGCTATATTCCCTTTTCACGAGATAGTGCAATGCTAGTCCCATAAACATATATTAACCATATGCTTCAATATTTTAGAACACTAACCGTATTTTCACCACCCTATCTCTTTCCCACTTTAAAGTTTCACTGTATATAATTTGGTTTCTTTCACATTCTTGCATTTCTTTATTAATTAAAATGCAATTTTATTTTGAAACAGTTTCACAAAATATGTGCTCACCCATGATTGCAACTATCTAAATTCTAAAATTTCCTCTATAGACAATCACATGTATTATCACGGAATTTTAAAGGAATTCCTTAAGAATTCCCAAGGAATTCTTGAAGTTTATGAAATCAATTTAATATTTTAATTCGTAGACAATACAACGATACTAAAGTATTTGTCCCATGTGAGAATATCTGAATTTAGAAAGTTACTGTAAATTAATGAGAAAAAGTTGCTGTTATACAGTGTGAAGATAAAGATATCCATCCGAATTCCAAGTATGATTATATAAACAATTAAATTAATCTGTAAAACGGGTAAATAGATTTCTCTTATTTTATCCATGTATACATGATCTGCTAGTAAAGAAAAACAGCTAGTTGCCAAAGGCTAGAGATAAACATATTGTGAACTAGCCATTGGAATGATTCTCCAGATTCACAAGGGGCATGGGGCATATTTCATGATTTTCTACCTGAATTGTCCACATGGTTTACAAGCACATACTGGATATAAATATTAGTTATGCAGTATCAAGTGTAGATGCCCAAAAATTAAATCCTGAAAATTTAATAGACTGTACATATACTTTTTGAGATATGTAATAAGAGGATGTTTATATGGGGGTGAGGCTGGATGCCCGGAGTTAGGGGCTACAGACTTAAGGTCACTTTTCCTGAAGCAAGATCTAGGGCTAAAGGGGCGGGATCTCGCTTAGCTATAGCTGGGCCCACTCTTTACCCATATATACACAAGGTGAACTTTAGTAAGAAATAACAACAAAGGCAGGATCTTGCCAAAACTGGGCCAGCTTGGGTATACCCTGGGGTTGGCTTGCAGTTGCACCATATAAACAGCCCCTATATATAGGCAGTATATAATTTGTCCGGTAATTGGAGTCTTTGGAGATTTTGTGTGTAAATGAATATAAAAATGACCCTTTACGGGTGGGTTGAGGGGGGTGTTTCTGTCAACATTTTGGAAAGCAATAATATTTTATTAAAAAATTAGAATAATCACATATATTTAAACTCTGATAGTAGTATATATTGTATTGTGTGTGATTAAAGTAAGGTTATTTTTTTTTTACCCCACCTCTGCATGCAAGGATTTTTTGGCCACCCCACCTAAAGCAACTATTATTTTTCAGTTACCCCACCATTTTCTCTTCGGCCCCCACCCCTGCCATAAATAATGACCGGTCCCTTAGCGCTAAACAAGCTTTGAACAATCGGCACCAGGAGTATATTAGAAATGTGGGACCAACAGGGTCGCTGTGAGATTTCGTTGGATTCTGAGCGTCATAAATTTGAAACAGTAAAAACAATGGTCTATGTGAGAAGGCCATCATAGGAGATCCTGTTCGCAGGCTAACACTCACCTGGTGTGGAGCGCCCGCTGGAATAAATATGGCGTCACCAAGAAATTGCGCAATCGGCCAGCCAACAACACCATATTCGTCTTTCAGCCGTTTAAGTAGTGGCTCATTCAGGTAGAAACACTAAAATGGTACATTTATGCATTTAAAAATACATCTCTGATATATTCCGTGCATCTCAGGGTAAACATTCGCAGATAAAACAATGCCTACGTCAAGCCTAGAAAATATATTTCTCTTCCTGGCAGCAAAATCCAAAAATAAAAATAAAAGCTTAAAATACTCGTTACAGACAAGTTACACGCGAGCAAAGACAATGATTTCATCAGAATACACAAAGTCAGTAGCTGTTCACCCCCCTTGCGAATTGACAATAAATGGTAAAGAACAAAACCCAACCTCGGCTTTGTAAACTGTATGAAACTCGTAACTACTTCTATGTAATTACATTACATTACATTATTATTCAGTTCACTCCCCATTGGGGCTTTTCCGTGACCGATTATATCAAGTATTCCGCTCACTTATGTTACTTACTTAGCCTAGACTATTTATCTTTACAACAATTGTGATATTACTTTCCTAAAGGTACGTTTACACGCTGCGATTTGTCGGGCCGATTTTGCTCGCTGTATGTAAATAACCTGTCGTGAGTACTCGCGTCAGCACCTTGCGATTCACAAAATCGGGAGAAAAATCTGTAACAAAACCACAGATTTTTCTCACGATTCAACGATTTTTCTTCCGTTGTAAAGTTGTTGAAAACTTTTCGCACGCAGAAAACTATAATATGAACAGACGAGAGAGCGCACAGCTTCAATTGAACGTTTAAATCGCTAAATGTCGAAGAAGGGGCATCGATAATTTACCAAAATCGGCCCGACAAATCGCAGCGTGTAAACGTAGCTTAACTGTGTTTATCCTAACCCACCCTGTCAACTTTCCCTGTGGAAGGGAACCGGAGCACCCGGAGAAACCCCACGCCTTTCGGCAGATTGTTGACTGACTCTTTTCACATGAGTCCGTAGTGAGAATCAAACCCACGATCTCAGAGGTGAAAGGCACTTGCTCTGGTGACTGCCCCACCAAAGCCCCACAATTACCCATTTCGTATAGTGAAATAGTACTCAACTCCAGAGAATACGCGATTCTAATTGGTTAACATTTGCACTAACTACAACTGGCCCCAGATGGAGGGTGTGTACTCCGGGGAGAAATACACGGCTAAAAACGCACAGGTTGTTGCAAGTTGATATCGACTGGCGTGAACAATGTTGTGCGGCCAACTATGAACAAGTTGTCAACCTTGTTGTTCCAAGTTGTTCCAGTTGAACAATGCTGTAACAACATGTTGACAATACTGTTCATAGTGGGCCGCACAACCTTGTTCACGCCTGTCGATATCAACTTGCAACAGGTTGTTGATTTTCTCAATTTTTACGCGTGTACAACTGACCTGGTCGTGTATGGGATCGTGACTAGCCGGGTACTTCATGTTCTTTTCACGACAAACCTGGTGGAAATAAATCATAGTTGGTCATAAACATATCAAGGTTGTCACGTATAATGAACATGAGTGAAGCCGAATTTCTAACCTTGTGAAACAAAGCTCGAATCTTGTTCGCATCTTCGGCTGCAAATATATGCCACAGCGCTCCCTACGTTGGAAATGGATAACAAGTTGTAATTATAATGGAGTTTACATCTTAGGAATGAATGTTTCTGTGACTAAAACGTAATAAAACCTGAACGAGAGGGTTATGCATGTCTATTATGAAAGTGATCTGAAAAAAATATGTGGGTTTCCTATTTCTTCTTGTAAAAACTTAGGTAGGGTAGGTCGGTTTTAACTTTTTTTTTTCTAAACTTTTATTTTAATTTTCCTATGAAGAGTTCATGCAAATCTTCATGCATATATGACAACCGGACGCCATGTTTCTTTAGTTCAGTACTCCCACATCCAAAGATAAATTTCCCTAATATTGCTTCAAATTTCCATTTTCCTCTAAATGGAAACACTTACAAACATGATCCAATAAAAAAGTTTAGGGTCGGGATTTCGGCGTCCAAAAGCAAGGTAGGGTTGGGAAACTGGAAACACACATATTTTTTTTGGCCTAATGATAGTTGTGCAAGGTAATGTGTTGGTCATGGTGGTTTGCGATCGACGCCACCTTAGTTCATTTTCAAAACACACAACTATCTCATTCCGGACTAAAATATATAATTCAAAATCACATCGCTGAGGAGAGGTTTCGGACTCACCAATTTCTCTGCTCTACCTCGCGCTCGATATTGTTGAGTTTCATCACAAGATCCGTCAATACACGCAATAGAATCTAGAAAACAATCACACTAGTTCAGAATACATGGGGCATGTAATTCCCGACTCGTACCCATTTATATAGATCAGTGGTCGGAGATGTGCGTTCTACAACTGTTGACAATAGTGACAATACACGGGACATGTAATTCTACAACTGTTGAAAATGGTACAAATATAACAACAAGTTTCCTCACTTACCCCTGCGTTCCTGTTCGCCATACGCCTCATCAAATGGAACTCCGACATATACCTGTAGCGAAACGTTTAGCCTGGTTGTCACTCTAGCTTTTCACGCCTTTGGAGAGGCTTACATGAAGTTTTAGCATAGGGAATTCCTGTTTAAAAATCATGCAAGTTCCTCTGTAACAGCTGAAGGGGGCTCTACGGTGGGTATAGCACCTTTCAAGGGTTGTCACTCGTCTTTCGAACTCGTGCAGTTTTGTTACTTTTTGAAATGCTTAGGGGCGATTACATGAGGAGTTTTCAGCCCGGGCTGAATTTCAACACGGTTAACCAAGCTGAAATTGCTTCACGATTACATGGCAAATGAGTTAGCATTTCAGTTCAACCGGGGTGAAACGTCAAGTCTCAAAATGTTGTTCATGTCTATTATTTGACTTCTGCCAGACTGTGGTTGCATTCAAAAATAGAACACACAGAAATAAAGCCACTTAAACGCTGTTTTTTCAACCAGGGGTGAAATTTCCCATCGATTACATGACGATTTTCATCCTGGTCAACCCATATATATCTTATATACACTAGATAGTGCATCTAATTATTCTGTAATTCAAAAATTGAAGCCGTGATTGCAGACTCAGGATATTCCCATGAAATGAGAAGATTCGTATGTTTTCTATTTTTTAAACAGGGAATTTAAACATGGCCGCCATCTATTCAAATGGGGGTAACCGCTGGAATATTCTTGGCTTCAATTTTACTAAAAGAGATGCGCTATCTAGTGTATAAAGATATCTATGGGTCAACCGGGGTGAAATTTTCAGCCCGGGTACGTAGCTTCATCTGGGCTCAAACCTCAGCCCGGGCTGAAATTTCTGTCATGTAATCGTTTGCCGTGTTTTAATAGGATTTTATCCTTAGGCCGGGCTGAAATTTCAGCCTGGGAAACGGGGATGAAACTCAGCCCAGGCTGAAAACGCTCCATGTAATCAACCACGCTTCCTTTTTCCAAAGTGCACTGGAAAGCAAGCAATCACCTGCAGTATATGCAAATAACTTACCATAACGTTAACCGCGTCAGACATATCAATATGAAGATTGGTTGTACCCGCACTTGGAAATGCTGCATTGCCTGGTGTAAAGAAATACGAGAAGGAGTGTTTTAGTGTCTTAAGGCTAGTTTCCACCAGGGCGCTATGTTTCCACTAAGGAAAATTATCCGTGGATTGGAACGGACAAGAAAATTTTTCTTTGTGTTATTAGTCATTAGTTCCAACCCAGAGCTCACAAGACAAAGAAAAATTTTCTTGTCCGTTCCAATCCACGGATAATTTTCCTGAGTGGAAACTAGCCTTTAATGCGCATTTCCACTCAACAAAATTTCCACGGGCAGAAAATTTTCCGAAACTATCATTGTTAAAAGTTGAAAATTTTCAACTTCAAAATTTGTTTCGGACGGAAAATTTGTGTCGGCCAATCACATTTCACAAAATTTTCTTTCTGCGGAAAATTTTCCTGAGTGGAAATGGGCCTTTACACATGCCATAAGATCTGTGTCGTTCCACTATATTGCACCTAACATGACGTAGTAGAACTGGGCAGGAGTGAAGTTTGATAAGGTGACGTAAATATTATTTCAATAAATTTTAGTAAGTCGTCCCATTGTTTACCAGTTGAATAATCGAACTACTGTTATGTAAAACATACTTACCATAAGCGTTGTACATTTTTGGTCCCAGATCTGGTTTGACGAAAAAATCTGGCAATCTAGGATACAAAATAATCGACATTAAGAATTTTTCATCTTTCTACATTTTCGCTTCCACCTTTGAGATCACAAGGAGTGTTTGTGGCCCAAACCTCGCGTTCCTGTTGCTAACTAAACCTATACCAAACGCCGCAGATTTTTCTCCACATATTCGGGTTCTCTCTTAGTGTAATTTTACATATATGAAATTTAGTATAACTTAGTTCAGTTTACCTTGAAACAAGATTTCGGGATCCATCTCTTCTTGTGTACTCGGGTAAGGGCAAAGCATCCATTAGGTCTTTGAATCTAAAAACATATAAACAACATCTCCACTTAACTGTCCTTGCCATGCTTTCCCCCTTGAATAATTTACCCACCTAAAAACCAACATCTACTAACCTTGTGGGCATTTTCTCAACAAAATCCGCCTCAGGAGGCCAATCCTTTAAAAATCATAACACAAATATATTATTTCCATTATTATTTATTTGAACTTATACTCGATATCACTTTTCACTATAGAGCAGTATAGCCGTCTTTGCATAATGTTCGAAAGTTTACATTAAAACAAGAAATACAAGACCATATTTAAATAGTAGTTTATGGAATGGTTAGTAAAGTTATTAAGAATTTGTTCCGGCGTGGACCATTTAATTGACACTAAATGTGGATGTGGACCATTTAATTGACACTAAATCAAAAACATTTATTAACCTTATGAACGCAAATGGAACATTTATGTCTTAAAGGGACGCAGACCAGAGCATTACAGTATATCAGATTTAGGCTTGCACAACTCACAACTCAACTAAGTCACATATTGGGAACCATATTTGAGAAGTCCCTTGTAAACTAGTGCTCTATATTTATATTTAACTGGAGATCACTTTAGTTCACAGTACATTTCTTCAGCTAATATCTCCTGTGATTTATTCTGCGCTATATAACCTTATCCGAAATTGACTTAACCAATTTTCCTATATGGTTTATATTATTCATTATCCTAAAATCTACCCTACCTTCAATTTTAAAAGTGTTGGCTCTCCTTTACTGTCAAGTGGACGGTCTAAAAGAAAACATAAATTACTTTTTAGACTTTGAGTGCATTCAAATGGTAACAACATTACATGTCAGATATCGCAGTTGGCTTGTCAAAATTTAAAAGGTGCAATGAATCACTATTATTCTTAATGAATTACATTTTTATTCAAGGTGCAAGCACTTTGATGAATCAGCGATCAATATATAGCCTGATCTGGCATGGCGTGCGAGCTTTGGTCACAATTCAGGATGCAACCGTTGATCAAGTGCATTATCACTAAAGAGAGCTATGGTAGCAAGGCTCTAGTCTGTAATTGTGCGTGACCATTTCAAAATCATGTTGCAACTTATTTTGTCTCTATTTTATTTTTGTTTCTGTCATTGCTTTTTCAAATCCAAAACATTGATTTGATATGGAAATTAGCACCCCATTTGTTAGCCCTTCTTCCAAGGCTAAGAGGGTGAGAACCCCCACCCCCCCTAGTACATCCACCCCTGTAATGAACATGATAAAACTATCATGCACTCTCATCAGCACTCCAGAAACTGGAAATCTACAACTGATTTGTCCAGTATTATTTAAAGCTGTCAGCGCAAAGATAAATTACCTTTAACATTTTCAAATCCTCGCCAAAACGTCCCAATCTCCATTTTTTCCAGAGTTCCACCAGTTTTACAGTTCACAACATCAGCTTTTTCAGAACCTAAATGCAGTTACATATTTTAGTCGTACGCATAATTTGCGTGTTTGTCACTGGCGGACACTAGAGGCGGCAATTACCCCATAATTTCTGAAAGCCTTTGAATATAGCACTGGTAGGCTATAAATTAAAGAGATGGTCTACTGAACTCTAGATAGAACTGATAAAGCTACCAAGTATAAACATATTTAGGCCATAGCTGTCAAAGTCTGTTTTTAATAAAACACTTGATATTCATAAAATTTATAGCGTTTCATAATATTTTATTCATTCTCAATCGTTATGGTCCAACAGTTACTAACATCGGTAATCTAGTTAGCGGTGGTACTAAAACACCTAATACGCAACTCCAAATAAGAACAAAGGAAAGTTTTCATACCAAATTCATTTTCAAATCCCTCAGGAGTCCATAGATGACTGGTCATGTTTTTATCCACACCACTCACAAGAATTGGCTGAAAGAAAATTCAGTGAGCATAAATGTAGAATGATTTAACTCGCGCACGATTACTGTAATCATAAATTCATTCACAAAAATCTCCGTTCTATCCCCTTTATTCCCATGCTTAACACATTATATCCAACCTTATCCTTACTTACCTCTCCTTTCTGCCATCTCGACTGAAAAGCCATGAGATTTCCTTCGTGATGAGCGTTATGAAGACGCAACATAGGGCGACGACATATCCACGAGTGTGGCGCCGGAACCTCATCGGTAGTTCTTGCTTCAACACGAGCAATGATGTCCTCGTGTGATGCTTCGATCTTTGCCGACGTTTCGTTGGTCATTGCCGAAGTTTCGTCGGTCATTGCCAAAATTTCGTCAGTCGTTGCCGAAGTTTCGTCGGTCGTTGCCGAAGTTTCCCCGGTCATTGCCAAAGTTTCGCCGGTCATTGGCGAAGTTTCGTCAGTCATCGCCAAAGTTTCGTCGGTTATTGTCGAAGGTGCGTCGGTCATTGCCAAAGCTGGGTCGGTCGTTGCCGAAGACTCTCCGTGGGTAGCGTGGGGTCGTGATAAGAGAGTTTCCTCCACTGTGGATGTAAAGAATATACAAAATAAACATTTCATGGTATTACTTTTGAACTAGTGCGTGTTTTATCAGACCTAAAGATACATACTCGGGTTCGCCTCCTATCTTTATATCTGATAAAACACTCCTACTCGTTTATTAAACAGTACATAAAATACTATAAAAAATAGCCACTCCTACACATGATCACATGGAGCGTGACTTACCTGGACTAATCTCAGTGTCGTCTTCTATCTCTCGTACTGGCGAGGGCATCGGAGAGGATACAGGTGATTCATAATCCATGAGTAAACTCAAAGCACCAATGTCATCTCCAACTAATCTCACATCACTACTCTTTTCTTCACAAGCCTTGGATTTCGGGGGTTTGTTATCATCACATTCAGGCTGTTTATCAACCTCACTTTCGGGCGGTTTGTCAGCCTCACATATGGCTGATATATTCTGACTTGCAGGGAGAATGTTATCTTTGCACCCAGGCCCTTTCTCGTCCTCGGGTGATTTGTCAGTATGGCACTCTTGCTCTAATTCTACACTCTTCCCAACTTCAGGTTCCTTTCCTGCCTGACATTCGGGTGTTTCGCTAGCCTTAGATTCGGGCAATATATTTCCAGCATCCTCTGACTGAACATCAAGCGTCTCGCTTTCAGTCGAGTTTTGAATTTCAGTTTTGATAAGCATCTCGTTTGCATCTTTGCTTGTTATCATTGGTTCGTTCCCCTCTTCAGAAATTTTCGCACTCTCAATCTCCATTGGTATTTCAGAATTCTGTTCCACGGACTCTGTTGCTTCAATTGTGACTGAAATAAGCAAAGACAATACAATTATGATAACACTCTAACAATACATTGTCGACGTTTTCTCTCATGGCGGTTATACCCGAAACAAAACTTAAAAGAACGACAACGATACGAACATCTTAAATATGATGTAATAACCAATTCCAGCCGACAATTCAAAAAAATATATAAGACACACACAATCAGAAGATTATGTAGCATTTTGAAACTCAAGATGGGAGTCAAAATAAGACGAGAATGAGTTTGTGATATTTCGATTTTATTTCAAAATCCTCATCAGACTAACTGTTAGTCGTCATCAGACCAGGCTTTTAGCCAGGGTCTGGAAAGAGGCCGTCCATTTTGGTATAACGATACATCTACGGTAAAGAGGGGTTCGAGAAAACGTTCCTCTGGAAAACATTTGAAGTTTACGTTACTTCATGTCAGTATCTGTTCCGAGTTCGTTCGAAATTTTCAAACACACTTGGCTTTGTAAATTTGTGCCGCTATGCTTCTTTACTTAACTACGACATTTTCATTCAGCCAGGTACACCATCAAATTGATCAAAATGTCAAATGTATAATAATAATAATGAGAATTGAAGCTAATTCGTTTCGGATATATTATATACTTAGGGAAATCATTGAAAATAATTACCCTTTTCCCCCAGAATTTGGGCGTCCAAAGGCGTCCACTTTTCGTTCTAGGGGCGTCCCAGGACGCCCTTCTGGCTAAAAGCCTGCATCAAACTAACTGTTAGTCTGATGATGATTTTAAATAAAATCGAAATATCACAAACACATTCTCGTCTTATTTTGACTCCCACCTTGAGTTTCAAGATAAACATGGGTTGAGTTTTGTCTTATACTATGATGCAATGTATACCTTGTGACTGTAAGGAAAGATCGTCACCAACGACATCAACGACAATGTCCTGGTCTTCGTCGGGAAGCTCTTTTATCGTAGCGCTATCCTTGAGTTCTTCTCTTTGACTTTTACAAGGACAGTTTTTACCAATCCCCCAGAACTCTCGAGCTTCATGCAACTGCTCACCAACTTCATGTAGAGCTAGAATGATAGATGGTTAATTTTCAGTTTTGGGTGGATTTCTAGGAAACTCTCTGAAGCCTCTGGAACCCAGGGTAGGGTGGATTAAACTTCACAATCAACGCAAGCCCTGCGATAACTTCTTGTATACACGCAGTAAATTCCTTTAGGGTTCATTTTTTAAAAATATTTAGGTTCAACACTAACCCATTATATAATTATAACTATTGGTAGCTATACAGGGCAAAACTCGTGGGAGACATGGGTAAATAAACTGTAGATATATATGATTATAACAATAATAACAGCTAAATAGTATGCGCAAATTAATTGTCATCCGAATCAGGGGCGGATCCATGCTTATCTTGTAAGAGGGGGTGCACCCTTCCACTATCACCGCAAATCATACGTTATTAATTAATCGTGAAAATTTAAACGACTCTTCAAATACTGAGAGGGTACCGATTCTTTCTAGGACGTCCCCTGAAAGTGCTCTCACGATGAAACATTACCAACAATGAAAATTGTTTGAAATAAAATTGATTGATGATGATACTCACTTTTTTTCGGAATGATATGAGTGAGAACCAAGCGTTGAGGACGATGACCGGTGTTTGCTGAACATCGCACCCACAAAAATCTCTTAGCTCGGCCAGCTTCAGCTAAAAATAATAAACTACTTTCAGCTTATTTTTATATTACGTCCCCTCATGCATTTCAACTACAAGAAAGAAGTTCAAAGAACAAGCTGCCCGAGCAAGCCAGTACTAAACTCCCGACCAAAAATGTCTCGAAACGACAAAGTGATTATTTTTAAAGAACGCTGCTGACTGATAGGGATACAACTACCTGAAAAATACAAGGAGAACTTCGAAGTCAAGGCCCTTCATCGGTCCCGAAACGTCGAAGTTCTCCTTGAATTTTTCTTATTACACGAGTTACTCAAACGTGTCTGTGCCAAGTTTGGGAAAAAAGTTTAAAGACCTAAGATTTAGGCCATGTTTACCAGGGCTTTCAGAATTATTCTGAGTAGGTGTCTGTTTTGATAAAGTAGGTGGCTGCTGGGAGGGGGCGGTCTAGGGGGTCTTAAAGTCATCCAAATTAACTAGTGTATATTGATTAGATAGCAACACAACTGAACTGTGTAACCAAATTATAATGTATCATTACTTTCATTCTTCAACAAGATAACTTCAAGATTTAAGATGGCAAATAACTAAATCAGTTTTACGAAATAGTATGTCATTTTCGAAAATTATAACCAGGCTATAAAGTATAGACCAGGTTGAGGAAAAATAACTTGAAAGCTTAGAATGAAGGAGGGAGAGCAGAATTGATAATTCAAGTACTAAACAAAGTAACCGGCGGTGAACCTCGTGGCACTTGCTGGAACTCCGGTGGCCGCCGGCTTATCTTGAAAGCCGTGGTTTACATTGTATCGGATCTGTTTTTGCTTCGTTCGAGAAACGTTACGGCCCAAGTGTAAATGCAGCTTCGCCCCCCGCCCTTCTGTGCCGTCGTATTTGCTTGTATATATTTACCAAATACAACGATATTCCAGACAATTTAAAAGAGTGAGCAAGCTATACCTGCAAATAAGATTAGAATAGCAAGTTTTTGTTTGCTAGACGCCATCTTGAGTCACGCATTGAACCGACAATTGCTCCGATTGGTGTTTACATCACAATGAGAGCGTTGCAAAAACCGATCCGATACACAGCGCACCACTTCGAAGAGCGAACCGCCGCACCACCGGTTCGTTGCAGAAATTGAGACGATAACAACATTTCACATGTAAACAGAAGCCCTATCCGGTATGGTTTTTGCGTCGGACGCAAAGTGATCCGATACAATGTAAACAGATGGCCTAAGTCGCTACATACATTGGAGCCTAAGCTATATCCTACGTTTGAATACCACATCATGCAGAAAGAAGAATACATGAATACCTGAGCTAACAGCCATATTCAGTTTTGTCCTGTAACAATCTAAGCAGACACCAAAACCACATTTCGGGCAAACCCAGTGAACGTTAAATATCGTTGTCTGGCAAGCATCGCACATCTCACGGATACCACGAACTGCGCGTTTCCACGCAACAGTGCCTGCAAACAAAAGAAAATAAAAATACAAGCCGTCAGCATATAATAATTACACACTGATTACACTTCGCATTGGATTATACATTACTCTAATTCTCCATTTAACATGCGAGCCTCTAGTCATAGACTAGGGTACATTTTGATTTACGTTGGAAAAGATAAAGTTAGGTTGGACACCATTTCACTTGGGTTGGACAAACAATAAATTTCAGTTTCACTTAGGTCGGCCAGAATGTTCCTCTCGACGTCGGAGAATTTTACGAATGGGTCGGATATCTCGGACAATGTCCGTGACCGACCGATATTTTAAGGCCTGCTGAAACCCACCAGTACTGAGTTTAAGATCTGCTTAATCTAGTACGCGGATGTGACGAAAAACAGTTATGTTTTACTTTCAAATTTGTTACCAGTTTAAATCTAATAAGTTCCTTGTCACAGTTTAAATTTGTTTTTCACCTAAGAATCCATAGTTTCTACCCCTATTGCTGACAATAAACATAGCGTGTGTGTTTTGCTGTAGTGTGTATGTGTAGTACATTCACCATATTTTAAGCTCTCTGATATTATAAAAAATTATACTTCCTCACCCTTCTTGATGTCCCAGGAGAATACTTCTTCCTCTTTTTTCACCAACTTACAAAACTCATCTCCGACATTCAACAAGATGTACTTCGATACTTCCAGGGAAAGCAGTTTACCAACTGAAGATAAAACAATTATTTAACTTTAAGGTTAAATTGGCACTATAAAAATGCCTTGAGCCATTGCACGACTTTTTCAAGCTTTCTAAATCATCTGTTGGTTGATGTAACCATAGACAATCCATAAACTTCTGGATTGTCTATGATGCAAGGCCGGAATTTCTTGAAATTAGGGATTAGGGGAGGTGCAGCAGTTTAGCTCACGGCCCCCATGAAAAGGGTTGTCACTGTTTCAATTTTACAGAAAAAAACTTTCTTACAAAGTGTAGACACTAAACAACACATACAAATTTGTCAAATTTTGACATTGATCTATCATTAAGGGGAGAAGCATGACTCTTCAGGGGACATGCAAAAAATCTCAGGGGAAGCGCAAAATGATCTCAGGAGAGGTGGCAGCTTCCCTCAAAATCCGCGGCCATGGTATGATGCAACCCAAATTAAAATTATACTTATAAATTATATTTATTGTGCATGGGTTTCGTATCTATAAGCCTGGTTTACGCAATATCAAAGTTTCTGTGGTCACAGCAGGGAATTCGTATCGGTAAATTCTACGTTTTGAAGGATTTATAAGAAATGTTTGACGAAGAACTGACTCAGTGTTTAACACTCAGTCAGTTTGCTCAAACATTTCTTACAAATCCTTCAAAACTTAGAATTTACCGATTCAAAATTCCTACTGTGATCACAGAAATTAAGTCTTATTATTATTATTATTATTATTATTATTATTACAACAAACCCGTATTGTAACAGAGACGATAAAGAAAATGGCGACAAGGAACCAGTGCCGTAGCCAGAACGATAATTGGGGGGGGGGGGGG